GGATACACGAGTAGGGTAATAATATAATTGCTTTTGATTGACAGGTCGATTCAGTCCAATGGAAGCGTGAAACGAATTCTTATCATTATTTATGCCATCTGTTAAAAATGATTTATTTTAAAACAAAAAAATTATATATTTTTTGAACAAGTTAGACTTTAATGAGATTTCATGGGGACTGTTACGTATCCATGTAATCTCATTACGATGTTAGATGCGGTGGGAGTAATGCCTTCAGCGCTTAAAGTTTACTTAAAGTGGTGCTGTGCTTCGGCTGGACATAACTTTTTCTCTTGGTACACAATTTTAAATTCTATACTGTTTAAGTTATTTTGTTGAAATATTGACGTGAATTTTGACTGAATATAAAATTAGTTAATATTTATTTGATTAAAGTCTTTGATTATAAAAATGAAAGTGATTGCGAATGTGAAAAATATCTAATTATTTACATTAAAGTTTCTTAACAACAACGATCACGGGCTGCGGCGCTTGTCCACTACGCCGCCGAGCTACTTAATTTTCACATTTGCCTAAATTAGTTTCTTGTTACGACTTAGTTTTAGTTTCATCTAACTACTTTAGTTGATGAAAGGGCTGATGATGATGATAAACTACTTTCGTAATGGCGTGTAATCAACAATATCTCTGAGACATTGGCACCGTCAACCATAAAGCTTCACGATGCGCAGGTGGTGTTGCGGAACTAGTTTCTCCATGTAAATCGAAGCGAAATTAGTTACGTGAAAGTAGTATAATTCAAAATATGTACATCCAATTAAACTATATTAATGTTATGAAACTAAGGTATGCATTGCGACAGTGGATGTTTACACATGCAACTGCTAAATAATACAACGAAAACTAGTTTCATGCAACTAAATTAATCAATTGATCCGATCCGATTAATCCGATTTACTGTAATGTAAATCGGATTAATTGAGAGGGAAACGATGTCCCGGTAATATCGAATTTTAGCAATTCGTTATCCAGTAACGACGTTAACGCTACTTATGTAGTCAGGAAGAACAAGAAACAATCCCAAAAAATTAATATATATTCTTACTGTATCTTGATACATCATTAAAAAAAAATTGTATTATGTGCCGGGGTCATATTTTATTTAAATTTTTTAAAGTTTATTTTGGTTTATGTAAAAAATGTTTTTTTTTTTTTTTAAAAAAAAACACACGTAATCTAAAACTATACAATAATTATTTAAAGTTTTTTTATGACAATAATTTCGTACCAAATTAATCACTCAAAAAAAGTGTGTAATTAAAAATACGTTATAATTTTAATATTTTCAAAAATAAATTTTATTACAGATGTTATTAAATTTAAAAGCGTTTTTTATTAACGCTTTTAAATTTAATAGCATCTGTAATAAAAAGCATACTTATCCATTAAGTTTGTAGGTATCTTTACACCTGCCTTACCCACTCGACGTTTCTAGAGTTAATACGTAATTATGAAGTTCTAGTTATGCATACTTTATTTATACACATAAACTCATCCATACACATACAAACATATACACACTACATACAACAGACACACATATACATACACCATATTTGTCGTGCGATATACATTTTCTTTGTTAACTGCCCTCATTATGATTAATTAATTAATAAAATTTGTAAAAATAATAATTTATTATTGTATTGAAATGACAAAACTGCTGTTGAAACTTTGTTGAAAAAAATAAAATAAGTAATAAGTAGGCTCTAATGAGGGGGGCTCAAAGTAGGCTCTAATCATTATTCCAGTTATGTTGATCTTAAGAAAAAACAGAGCTATTTTTGACATTTATGAAGTACTTGTATTTCATCTATATTGTTACTTATACTACATCTTGTGAAACGAAAATAATTAATGTATATTTTTTCTTCGAAGAAGCAATCAGATGGCGGAGTACAGCCGTTAGTTGGTGTCACGATTAAAAATAGTTCATAGAATTTTAAAGGTCCCGATAACTGGTTAGTAGTATGTATATTTTGAACTTATAAATACTTAATCTGTGGTTTGGGTTTTTGCGACAACTTTTCAAAGTTCATTAAAATTAATATTAAATAATCTAGACACATTCGTTCGTTACTGTTTGTCATGTTTAGAATTCCGTACTCAAAGGATACGAACCTCAGACATCCGAAAACTTAGTCCAATACTTTCGTCGTCGTTGAAGGTATAGTTCCCATCGCCCTTGAAAGTATAATGATATTTAAAAATCGTTGTATTGAAGAGCAATGGAACGGAAAATCGCATCAGGGAGTAAAATTAGTTTATTGTTAGAATTCCGTGCTCAAACTCCACGAATTACAGAAACCAGTAAACTTAATCCAATCCATTTTAATAGTCGATTAAATGTGACTTCGTAAGAATTTTTCTGTCTAAAATCAACTAATTAAACTTAATTGTGTTGTGGAGTTATTAAGCAACTTTCGGAAGTACCGGTCATAGGATTTGAGGCCATAAATTTTGTATCTCGAGCTTCTCCATGCTTCGAAAAGCACATTAAGCTGTTGGTCTCGGCTACATATGTAGTCGCTAAAACCTTCTAACCGCACTGGGCCTATGCTTCTTAATCGATTTAATTCGATTCCATCTATAGGGTAGGTAATGGTGATGACAATGAAACAAGGTAGAGATAAAAAATGGATTATACAAAAAGAGTTAATGGCACTAATTAAAAAAAAAGGAAATTTTGATTTTTGAATTTGACATTGAGTTAATTTAGCATAAATTTCACAATAGCTCTTCGTGTTATATGTTTAAACTTATTAATCATCATTATCATGTCTCTGAATCATCATTAGATTTACCGATTGCGAGTGCATGATGGTAAATGTTTGATATAAACAACGATCACAGAATACGGACTATTAAACATTAGTAAATGTTGTTTTACAGGAAATTCTTAAGATTACCCGTACTTCGGGCTACTACTGTATTTCTTGAAGTGCTGTCGACATACAAACAAATTTTGTGCTTCAGAAGATAATCAATTTATAATCTTAGGTCTCTTTAAGGGAAAAAATTTAAAGAAAAAGATATAATGACTGTTGTTTCTCGTTGATATACGAGAACTTTAATGTACGTTCGTAAAACCATTAAATTTTTTTTCTAAGTGATGTATGTACTCACAATTTTAATACTAAAAATAAAAATAATTTGTCGGTGCCTATCACTAAACTGCAAAAAGTTAATATTAACAATTCATTCAGGGGTCTTTGGGTGCGCTTCTACAATAAGGTCCCAAGTAAAATACAATAATTAGATGTCATTCAGTTTAAATCTAAGCATTAAAAAAATATAATAATCAGATACCCCGAAAAGCTTAATTCAAGGATTATATAACAGATGAGAATGCTTAGATTTAACCTCCTGACGTTTGAGGTAATCTTTTTCAATTTCATCATGAAACTTACGTATATTACTATTAAAATATAGTGGCAAAAATATTTAAAAAAAATCTTAGGTCGGAAAATCGCCCGCGACTTCGTCCGCGTGGTAAAGTTACTTTGAGCAGCATTTCCAACGAATATTCATTTATTCGTTCCATTAGGTACTGATAGGTTCAAACTAATATATTAACATCCTTCATCATCCCTTATTTTATCCACATGGGGGTTGAATTTACGGCAGACGTCTATTGTCAGCAATTGCAAACCGTGCTGAAAAAACTAGCTGTTCAACAACCGAGCCTGGTCAATCGCTATACGCCACTTCTACTTCACGACAACGCTAGACCACACACTGAACAACAGACGGCTACCAAATTAGAAGAGCTTCAATTTGAATGTCTAAGACATCCACCATTCTTCCCGGACTTTGCTCCAACAGATTACCATTTTTTGGATAACTTTTTGCAAGGGAAAAAATTCAACTCTGATGGGGCATTGCAAATGGCCTTCAAAGATTTTATTGATTCCTGTCCGAATGGCTTTTTAGTAAGGGGATCAACGAACTACCTATGAGATGGCAAAATTGCATAGATAACAATGGTTTATACTTTGATTAAATAAATATATTATATTAAAAAATATTCGATTTTTTTGTTCCTCCCATACCAAACACCAATTTCATATGTAAGGACCTAATATTAGTTATTATCTCAAAAAAGAATAGTACTTATTGGATGGAACCAATCTTTTATTCTCATAGATCAGTGATCTATGATTACGTAAAATATGTTAATATTATGTGTTGTAGATCCAGTCCAAAACTGGATCTATTATATAATTAGTAGTATTAAATTAGTTAAGTAACAAATTAACCTAATATTCAAATATGATTAATTTGAATTAAAAACTATATAGTTTTAGAGTACCATAGTGGCGCTGCGGCCCGCGAACTACTTTCGCAAGGGTCGGTCATGGGAAGAGTGACTAAACGATTATTATGTCAGGTACTCCGTGCTTCGGTAGGTATGTTAAGCTTTGGTCAGGCTGCATTTGCAATCGTCAGTATCCTCCGATCCGCATTGGGCTAGCGTGGAGGGTTTCGGCCTATTGTCCTTAACCAGCAATAAGAAAGGCCCCTGCAGTGGGAACGCAACAGGGCTGATGACGATGATGAGAAGAACCGCCTGATACAGGATTTGAACTTATGTATAATACCATGCAGGTGCTGATATACTTCCAACGACATTTATAGACGAGTTTGTACGCCGGTTTTAAAGGTGCCGCCATCTCTGAGGTCCGGGATTCGATTCCCGATCGGGTCAATGTGGAAAATGGTCTTTTCTATATAATCTCGGGTCTGTACTCCATAATACAATGATTTTAACTACTCAGCTTAGAATATAAGCAATATATGTGATGTATATTATGTTTCTTTCTTTTTAATACCGTCAATTGTTTGCTGTAAGATTTGTATTGAAATCCCTCGATTATCTTTACTGTGTTAATGTATTTATACGATTTCTTGAAAAACTATATCAAAAAGAAAAAAACTTTTCTTTTTAAATTTTACATAATAGGTGAAATAAAGCTCAGTGTTTTTAAATAAAGATATAACAACAATTTATTACCCTAATTAGTCTGCATATAAATATTATATACAGTCTTACAATATTCTATTTACAGTGTCCTTAACTTCTAATGACGAATTCTTGTTAGATTATCCCAGGAACTGAGCGACCACAGCTGGTGGAATTGCACCACCTTGTCCTTGTTCAAGGGTTGGCTGGAAACCGTTTTCATCAGCAATGTAGCTGACGACGTATGTTACGCCGTCAGGACCCACCCACGCGTAACGGCCCTGGACAGCAATACCTTCATTTTCAGTGCCTTGGTTCTTCAATTGACCCTGTTCTTCATGTTTGCTGCCATCTGACAATTCCCACCTGAAATGCAATTTTAACTTTTGTAATCTACAATATTACTCATTAAAAAATGTTCTTAGTATCCGTTTTTCTTACGCAAAATTGTAAGAGTCAAGACCACCGTTGTTGATATCATATCGAAGTAGTTGGACATCCTGTGGGTTCTGTGGTGCTGCACATACGACAGCTGCAAGGGCGAAAACCACGAACTGAAACAGATATCGTCTCCGATAAAGAAAAATCACTTATCACACGACACTTCACTATTTGTTTAACACTATTTTACTGACCAATTTCATTTTGGTTTTTTATTTTTGCTTGCGACTGTTCACTACAAACAACACTTAGTTTGTGGGATGATTACGTACTCACGCTGTTGTCTTATATATTTCTTCTAATACATGGTTGCAACACTAGCACCGGGTCTGCTTTTCTCAGAGGGACAGAATTCGCTGGATCTGCCTTGAGGTGAACGTACAACAATGACCACAAAATTCCATATGTTTATTGCTAAGATTACAATTGCAAATTTTCACATACAATCAAAGTGTAAATGTCAATATTAATAGGAATTTCAACGATTGTATATTTAAATATGTAATTATCAGATAAGACAGATGTACAAGATTTAAAGAAATAATAAACAAAAGTTCAAGTTTAACTCATCAAGCGACTTCGGACATAGGGTCATTATAGTAGGAATGTAGAGATGTACAGATAAATTTTATAACTTATAAATTAAGCTTATAAAATATTACCCAAAAAGCAAAACAAAGCATAAGTTTTTTACGTAGTTAAGTGACATTTAGTGCTTGGTAAGCTTTCTTTTGAGATATTACAAAGTAAGTTGCTAATTTTCTGTATGGTTTTGCAATAGTGCATTACGTATGATTTCTTTTAAACCAAATGGACATTGATAGGGCGGAATACAAAGACCGTTTATGTAACAAGAGCGCAGTTGAACTGGTTTATTATATTTATTGTCTGTAAGTTGTAAAATAAATGCGAGACAAGTTTAAGCCTAACCGTTCCAAGAAGTAATTAATATTGATCTTTACTTTGCTACGTCTTGCACACAAAGCTGTCTTTGGTTACTTTATTTCTCTGTCTTTTAAAAAGAACCGGTCGTATGCACTAGCATAATGAAGACGACCAGTTGTCAATTAAACGGTTAACGAGAATATTTATTCTTATAATCGATCACTTAAGTTCTTCCACAAGTGTTTTATTATACAATAAATATTCATTTAGGGCAAGCTGTATAAAAAATCATGATAATAGATAGATGTAAGAAAAAAAATGTTAACAACAAAATGGCACTGTGAAATAAACATGTTAAGCTTTTAATAATAATAAGTTAATTAGTCCATCTGTCTCTGATTAATTTTCTGTGATTGTTAAATGGACAGACAGACGGATACATGCGCTATCTAAAGGGTTACAATTTTCTTTTAGTAGTACTGAACCTTAAAAACTTGCAATTTTGTTGTGATAAGTAATAGTTAAAGTATTGGCTATTTAATACTGTTGATAGAAAATAAATGATAAAATTAATATTGATCAGGTAAATAACAGCGGGTAATTATTTTGTTATGACATGGCATGAAAAGGCATGCCTACAAGTATGTAGGTACAATGTTGTAAAGTAATAATATTATAAACCGCAGAATCATAGTAAAAAGGTCAAGGTTTTCACACTTTACGTCGGATTACTTTGTGTCCAATTGATTTCTGATGAGTGTTCTGAGTTGAGAACATTCCCACAGAATCACCAACTATACATGACAATATATATTTTTTTCAGTGTTCACAATAAAGTCTAACTTAATTAGTAAGATTTGAGCGATCGCAATCTTTAGTGATCTTGAGTTTCACACACTTTACAATGCAATTCGTGAAATATCACTTCAAATAGATTCTAGACGCATGTATACATTGTAAAGTATATTTTTTTCACTATAATAAGTTCCAATGGTCTTTTGTTAAAAATCCGTATTATTAATTAATAATCCTGAGGATATTTAAAGAAATACTGAAGGTTAATTACCTAACGTTAAAAAAAATCGAAAACTTAGAAATTTCTTACACAATTCAAACGGAAATTTTAAAGGATTCCTTTGTAAATACAGTTAACAGACGATAGTCTCTTTATGTTAATATAATGATGGAAGCATTGAATTGACTTCTGACCTGTTACAAATGCACGTTTAATAAAGACTTTGATATTATGTCACATGTTGTAATAGGTATATAATCCTCTCGTTTATAATACAATTGTGTAATATATTTCTATTATATTACCTTTGTAGGTTTCCATACCCAAAGAGTAAAACGGGAACCCTATTACTAGAGCTCTCATGAACCGTGAAAGTAAGACAGTTGAAATTTACACAGGTGATGTATTTCTATTGCTGCATAAAATACTAAAAACCAGAATAAACTAAATATTTAAAGGGCCTTCCATACAACGAAGGTGATTTTTTGCTCGTTTTCGGTATGGAACCCCTCGCGCGCGAATCCGACTCACACTTGACCGGTTTTTTGTACTATTGTGGTTATATTGATACGTATGTACTATAAGTTACGGGAGCATGATTTTAATGGAAGCAACGTAGTTGTTTTCTAGATAAGGTATTGCTTATTTGGTTGCATTACAAAATTCAGTTATTAGATTTACAGCCACAATGGTTGGTTGCATCTCGGTTCCCAACCGGTCAGCTTATGTCACGGTTTTTAAATAGGGTTACCTTCTGATAACAAGGCTTATTTTATCCATTAGTTTTATTTTCTAGACCTTTTTATATTATTATTTTAAAAATATGAAATAATGCAAATGAAAGACTTTTATCAATTTATCAAGTCAATAAGTTATTATTTGCTTAAAAAATAAATTTGCTCCGCTTCGAGTGAGCACGCCTTCTGTCCTTGTTATTTCCGTGCGAGATGTTTACACTTGAGTTTGACGTTACATTTTTGTTTGCATAAATGTTTCTCTTATCGTAATTATGTATATTAATATCAAAGAATAAAACTGGATTCATTACAACTTAAAAGCGTGTGGTGAACAAAACTTCCCTCGCAATAAGAAAAAAAAAATTATATTGCGAAGCAAGTGATTTATATCATATCTTCATTGTATAATAATTAATCGGACCTTATATTTTCTACTTGTGTAGTAGACTTACTTTAAGTCCTCTAAATGAATGTGTGCTTTAAATGTAAAGTTTGGTTAAACAATAGTTTAAAATAATACATTTTGAAAGATGTGCACGCGCCCTGTATATTGTAGAAATATATATTATATAACATATATTTATCAATTTTATTTTTAAATAATAAACAGATTTTTCAATAGGTTTTTTTTTGGTTCATTTGAGTAACAAAGGAGGTAAGTGTACTACATATTTAATATCAAAAAAATACTAAAAATAATTTAATTTAGTTTTTGTTGGTAACCCTATAAACATTGACTATAATACACGCCGGTGACCTCCGTCACCCATCGCTTTCCTGGCGAGAAGCCTCTAAAATGGTTATTTTGGGTCAATCTTTAAAAGCTTCGAGTCAACTTTATGAATAATTAATTGTTTATCTATACTTATTTGGTACAAGGTTACTGACATAACTTGACACGTCATCGGTTTTTAACGCATACCTATGTTTTTTTATAGTCACATATACCTATGTCAAAAACATATTTTATATTTTGTTATGTCCATGATAAGTAAATTTTGACAGTAATTAGTAATTAATTTGAATGTTTATTCCACGAAACAACTACTGAATGTTATTTGCAGAGTATTTTAATATTATTATTAGGGTTCCTTATTTTTAAAATAAAAACTTAACCCTTGAAGGATTACTCCTGTGTCTGTCTATCTGTCTCTCCATTGGTCGATAAAAGAAACTTAAAGCAAATTTTATTTTATGATAATCTAAAATAGTGAAAATATGTGGAAATAGACCATACCTTTCGTAATTTTTAAAATAACTGGGCCTATCTTTTTTTTTAATATCAATAACTTTTATATTGTTTTACAAAGTACGGAATCCGATATACCTTTTCCATTAGCTCTTAAGTGATTTAATTTACTATTCAAGGTGGTAAATATATCGTTTAATGTACTAATATTTTTCAGTGTTCGCAATTGACGAAAAGATTAACGAGCTCTAATTTAACTTGTCGTGTTTGTTAATTAGTGTGGGCCAAACTTGCAAGCTTTGAACCAGTTCTAGGTTTCAATTTAGCTGAAATTTAGGATGTATAAACTTGGCTGACAATGCAATATTTATATGGAATAAAGCTGATCTGATGATTAAGCCGGTAGTCATAGAGGTTTTATAATTAAATAATGCAACCCCGTTACGATTAAGCTCATTTCATTTATCTTAGAAAAAGGTCAAGGTTTGCACAATTTGCTATAGTATTATAAACGATAGAAATTATTCATCTGTACAAGATCTGGCCCAAACGAAAGCTTTTCTACTAATTATACATTGAATTTCGTTATATTTGTTAGCTCTCTTGAACTTTTTACGTCAACTAAATTTCATAGTTCGATGAACAATGATTTATATTAATCATTGTGTTATAATAAAATACATAACCTTTTATTCAATATGTTTTACCATTCTCATGTCAATACGGTTCACTTATGATAATTTATGATTGCAGACTAACATCCGCTATTGTAATGGCTATTGTAAAACAATGTATATCTGATCGTTTTTAATTTTCCGATTGAAAGAGGAACGTGTCTATAACAATAGTAATATAATTTTCTATAAAAATATAATACCGACATACCGGTTGTAAAAGTTTATCATCACAAACATCAATAGCTTTAACAATTTTAGACAAATGTTGTATGGTTAGTTTAATGTGCTTAGACAATAAGAGTTTGGTGTAAGAGAGTGCCGATGTTATGGCACATTTGTCTTTACAAATCGCATGATTTGTGATTGCCTCACACAGTTCTTTGTGGGCGAGTTAACGAGTGCGATTTATTGGTCATGAGAATCTGAGAATCGATTGTAACAGAGTTGCTATCTTGATCTTCGAATAAGGTAAAGATATTCTACGAACGAGTGAAAGAGAAATTTAGAGGAACTTGGTATCGCTTTGTTTGGATTGTGCAATGTTCATTGTTTTAGTGATTAGGCGTGAATAATATGAACGCAATTTATAGGTAACATAACTCGATATAAAGGTTTGAACATGTAAATGCATAATGAGATGTCGTAATATTGCCCATATGCGATTTTCCCATTAAGTTTTATATCCAAATTTATTTGACATAGTAATTTAATAATGATCTATTAATAAATGATTCTTATTTCGATTCTATATTTTATTTGGAACATAACATTTTCTGTAAGACATTTTTTTAAAAGTCAAAATTACTTTCATTCAAACTATATAGGGGAAAACACCTTAACCAGGTCGGAGCAAGTTCCTCAACACATAATCAGTTCATAATTCGCACATTCAGGTTTGCTGCCAGTACTTAAGATGTTTCTTTTCAGACATAATTTTGGAAAACAAAACAGCACGCAATAATTTGGA